TTCAATTGGGCAATATAAATAAATACAATAAATAAATACAATACAATATCGGTAACATAACTATAGTGTCACTATATGTCAAGCCTAAAACTATGATCTCAAAAGAAGAATGGATTCAGTTTTTCAATAACGTACCAAAACTATGTCTGATAGGAGGGAATTTTAATTCACACCATACAGCATTCGGTAGTGAAATTAAGGACTCATACGGCAAAAATCTTTTGGAATCCCTAGGGGAAACCAACCTAATATACCTGAACAATGGAGAACCAACCTTAGTATTATATCTGAACCAGAAAAGAAGTGCAATAGATATCACATTATGTTCACCGGATATATCTCAATATATTACCTGGACTACAAGTACGGACCCCCACGGATTGAATCACCTACCAATCTTCATTAAACGCTCAATGGAAAAGAACACACAAAATATGGAACCTTCGAAAGGCAAACTGGGAAAAATATACAAACAATTTTGAACAAACAGAAGGAGAGGAGATAAATTACCAAGAGCTGATGAACGAAATGAATAAAGCCGCAGAAAAATCTATACCCAAATACCCTGACAAAGATAAATCAAAGAAGAAAACTGGTAAAATCTGGTGGAATGATGAATGTGATAGGGCATGTAAGAAAAGGAAAGAACTGTATATCAAATACAGAGATGAACCGTGTATTGAAACTCTCAGTAACTACAAAAAGCAAGACGCAATGGTGAAAAAAATAACAAATAAAGCGAAACGAGACAGCTGGAAACATTTTTGTTCATCGCTGAAAAGAAATAATAATATGAAAGAAATATGGAATAAAGTTAATAGGTTCAAAAACCGGAAACAAAGTAATAGAAATCCAATAATCGAAGAAGGGTGGATAGAAGAGTTTCATAACAAAATTGCACCAGCCTGGGTGAAACCCTTGATAGAATTTGATGAAAGCCATATAAACAACGAAATACAGAAACCATTCACTCTCATGGAACTCAATATACCTAGCTCTTCGTCAACATAACAAAAGAGCTCCAGGAAAGGATAACATACATTACTCCATGATTGCAGAACTGCCAATTGAAATAAAACAAAAATTACTATCTATTTTTGATAGAATATGGAGTGGGCAAATAGAAATCCCACAAGAATGGCACAAGTATATATATAGTGGTACTTATACTCATACCAAAGAAACCTGAAAATCAAGTCGACTCCTATAGACCAATCACTCTTGCTTCATGCGTCATGAAAACATATGAAAGACTTATAAAAAACAGAATTGAAAGGTGGTTAGAAACGAGCAAACTCATTCAGCATAATCAATATGGCTTCAGGAGAAAAAGATGTACTCAGGAAGCAGTTGCAAATCTTATAATAGACGCAAACTTAGCATTTACCAAAGGAAATTCCATATCAGCATTATTTTTAAACATACAAAACGCATACGATAATGTGAATATGGATATTTCAAAAGGCAAGATAGAACAAATGGATTTTCCTCATATTATTACAAAAACTATATTGAACCTCTACCTTGACAGCAAAAAATGAATGGGTACAGGGGAACGAAAGAATCCCCGGACAGAGTAGTGTGAATGAGGCAGAACTGGTTGCGATCGAGAGAGTGATAGGTATGTGGGATATGAATGAGAGTGTAACTGTGCTAAGCGATTCTGCTATGGCTGTGGAACGTTTGAAAGCAGGAAGAACGAGGAATAAGAGGGTAGCGCGTATACAGATGATGATAGAGGAGAGGAAAGTGAGAGGAGCGCGGACCTGTTTAAGCTGGAAGCGCGGTCATGAGAACAACAATCTTGGTAATAGAAAAGCGCACGAGGAGGCAACAAAGGGAATGAGGAAAACGGAGATTACATGGGAAGTAGTGAAAATAGGGAGTAAGAGTGAAGAGAGGAAGAGGATTAAAGAACGAATCAGGATAGAATGGCAGAGGGAATGGGACACGGGAGAGGCTGGGCGGCTGTTCTACATATTCTGCAGGACAGTCGGGAGTGAATCATTGAATCTGTCGCGGAAGGCCATCCAGCTGCTTACGGGACATGGTAATTTTCCGGGATACCTTGCCAGGTTTAACCTGGGCCCGGAAGTGCCATGTTTCTGCGGCTACGGTGAGCCCGAAACGGCGGAACATGTGATAGAAAGATGTATGGATGGAGACAGGATTGGGTGGCGAGAATAGAGAGAATATAAGGAGCGAGAAAATGGGGAGATAACACTGAGAGGAGAGAATGGAAAGAATAGTGAATGGATAAGGTTTGTTAATGAATGGGCGGAGAGTGTGGTGAGGGATGAAAGAGAAGGGTAAAGAGCAGGCTGTTAGCTTGGTGCCAAAAATCTGGAGTGCCGAGGACTTGGAGTGCTGGCAGCGGTCTCCCCAATGGTGGCGACCATGGATATTGTTCGGGCATTCAAGCAATGTACAGATAAAAGAAGAAATGTTTTATTTGAATCATTATGATATATTGTATTTATTTTGATTTAGTATTTTATTGTAAATGTTTATTATGGAAATAAGGAAAAGGGTTTTCCACCCCTCTAATTTGGGGGAGCATGGGTCCTCGTGGCAGTGGTTTCGATAGATAGAGGGAAGATGCTCCATTGAAAGGCCTTCGGCCAGGACAATATCGAGCGATGGCACTATTCATGTCCATATCAACCAAACTCATTCAATTTGCGGACGACTTTTGTTTCTACAGCGAAGGAAAAAATATAGAGCAATCTTTACGAGAACTTGGTTTAAACATGAATATGTAGGGAACTACCTTAATCAACAATCCAAAATATCTTCAAAGAACGAATGTCCAATAAATGGACTAATAGAGAATATATCTATACAGATGGCTCAATGATAGATGATAAATGTACTTGTGCATTTTACCATTCCAATAATGAATATTCAGAAACTTTTAGACTATCTAATAAGGCATCGATATATACTTTGGAAATCGTAGCTATTCAAAAAGCCCTTGAATATATTAAAGGAAATGATAAAACGAATTTCATGATATTTACAGATATTGATATTTACAGATATCAAAAGTGCTGTAGATAAATTCAGAAATCTACAAATGGACAGCAATCTTTCACATATTCTTTTGAATATAATTGATTTTAATGAAGACATTCTAGAAAGTAACAAAACTCTAGAAATTGTATGGATTAAGGGTCACGCAGGAATTAAGGGAAATGAAATTGTGGATAAAATGGCGAAGAAAGCAGGTGGTAACAATATTTCTAATATCAAAATACCATACACGGATCTAACGAAAGTGTTCAGGAAAGAAATGTTCTATCACTGGCAGGAATTATACTCTGGATCAACTTCTGGTCAGAGATATAGGATAATTCAGGAGAATCCGCAAAAGTCTCCGTGGTACAGATATGAAATTAACAGAAACTTCATGAGATCAATCTGCAGAATGCGAACTAGACAAGCAATGTACCCAGAATATAAATTCAGAATAGGATTAGCTGAAAATCCAAATTGCTCATGTGGAACAATTGGTACATTAGATCATCTAATTCTATAATGTATCGAAAATAAAGAACATATTGACAACCTATACGAAATACTGGAAAGTGAAAATATGATATAGGGTCCGCCATCTAACGGTTTTTTTTTCAACTAGTGCTTATTTCGTGAATGGTAACACTTAGCTCATGTTTGATTAGACAGATAATTAGTTTTATCTTCCGCTGAATGAATAACGTATACGCTTGAAGAACGCTGGGAAATATTGCGACATTACTTTGAAAATCATGGTAATGTTGCAGAATGTGTGCGAAAATTGCGTACGGATTTTGGAAGAAGAGTAGCACCGTCAGCTTCGTATGTTCGTTATCTTGTGAAAAAAGTGAAAGAAACTGGCATCCTCATCGATAAACCAAAGCGTGAAAAGCCAAAAACAGTGCGTACACCCGAGAATATTGCTGCTGTGGCAGAAAGTGTGCGTGAAGCGCCATCAACATCAATTCACCGTCGTTCTAAACAATTGAACATTTCGAAGACATCATTGAGACGAATTTTGCATAAAGACCTTGGAATGACGCCATACAAAGTCCAATTGGTTCAGGAATTGAAGCCAACTGACCATCCAATGCGTTTTGGCTTCGCTAAGTGGGCCTGCGATCGACCTACAGAAGATGCTTTTGCAAAAAAAAAACATCTTTTCAGATGAAGCTCATTTTGATACTGTTGGACTATTATTTGTGGGGTGCCGTCAAAGATAAATGTTACGCCGGCAAGCCAGAGACAATTGAAGCTTTAAAGGACAATATTCGTGAAGCCATTGGTGAAATACAGCTGCACACAATCGATAATGTGCTTAAAAATTAGACCGATCGTGTAGCCTACTGCATGGCCAGCCGAGGCAGTCATTTGAATGAAATTATTTTCCATTATTAACCGGAAGGATTGTACTTTCAAATAAAAAAAGAAATTCGAAAAAATATTCAGTAGTTTTTTTTATAGCATTAAAAAAAAGTTATTTGGCGGACCCTATATTACCAATAAGATTGGGAGAATTTCTAATCAATAGAAAAAATAAAAATCTTTTTAAAATTCTATTCGAATAGATCAAAAAGGTTAATTTAGAAATATAATTTTACTTTTCAGTGATTATGTATTCTCTAAATAACCAGAACTACCAGCTAGCTTATAAGTCGCGTTCTGTCACGTCCCAAACGAATATAAAACCGTTCGTATAGTGTAAGGTGAAGATAAGAATAACAGAAAGAAGAAAAAAAAGTAAAGGAAAAAAAGAATGGAAAAATTAAAAAGAATAATACCTCATTCAGAACTGGCTCATTTCCTTCTTCCCTGAAGACTTCCGTTGTCATTCCACTACATAAAGGTGGTGATTTAGATAATCCCTCCAATCTGCGTCCTATTTCCTTAATACCGACTTTAGCAAAAATTATTGAGAAATTAGTCAAAGAACGTTTAGATTAATTCTTAAAACTGCACTGTATTATAAGTTATTACCACTAACACTAAACTTTATAAATGAATAAGAATGTATTATAAATCTAGAAAATATCAAAATATTGTAGAAATTTGACATGTTAAATCAGACTGGCAAATTGGTTATACCAACGCCATTTGAACTCATTACACACACACACACACTAAATAATTTGTAAAAAAATAGGTAAAGTGTTTGGGTTACACTGACACATTCAAAGGGATAAAGATGAATCCTGAGCAGATATCAGCTATTTAATTTTGAGCGATCGAGAAAAATAACAAACCCCAAATTTTTGGGGTTTATAAATTATGACTAGCATTTTTTGTGAAAATTTCCTTTGTTACACTTATTAAAGAAAAACAAACTGGAGATGGAGCGAGGATGAACAAATTGCATTCAAAAAAATTAAAGAAGCATTTATTGAAGTTAAGATGATATATCATACAGATTTACAGGTACGTTTTATATTTAATCTGATAAGTTCTGAATATGATATAGGGAAATACTAATATCAAATAGATGAAAATGATGAGAAAAAATTCTTGGTTATATAAGGGGAACAGTCAAGGGCCCAGAACTAAAACACTATGTAAATGAAAAGGGGGCATTAGCGGCTATTTTCGCGGTACGCCAATGGAGAACACTTATCGTGGGAATTAATTTAGTAATAGTTACCAACAGAAAGAGGTCGTCAAATTTTATGCGAATGTGAGGCACTGGATCACAGGAGGCAAGATATCTATGAACAACATTCATTACTCAAGAGAACAAAATCGGGGTCATTGGCAGGGTTTAATGGAACCTGAGGTATCAAACGTTCTGTCTGCCTAACCTCACCTTCATTATTTCCAAAAAAATATGACAAACACCCAATAAGGTACAAAATAGTACAGGAAACCAGATTGGTAGAACAGGTGTTATTTACTTGGACTTTACCAATAAGGCGCAATTATTGAGACAATGAAATCTGTTTCATTTTGATTTACTGAATTTTTTTATGTAATATTCTCCACCATAAAATAAGTGTTTGCAATTGACTATTTTAGTGCTAATTTTTTGATAATTTGGGTTACATTTTTGTAATTTTTGTAAGGATCTGTTCATGAAAATGTTGATTGATGGTCCACAAACAAAATATTTAATCAAGTCATTTCAGCAAGAACAAATAGGTTTGCACCTAATTAGATGCATCTTTAATGATGACCTCTTTTCCGCAAATTAACATTATATTTAATATTGAATTATTTATAAAAAATTCTTTACATTCCTAATTCGAAGACAATAAGTGATCCACAAAAATATGTGATAATAAAAAAAAACGGCTCTCAAAATAAATACGTTCAAAAATATCTTTACCTGTAAGTCTGCAAGCTTCTTCCCAAGTGAATTTTTGAGAGTCTTATGAAACTGTGACACTTTATGTGAGTGCTGGTTGCCCAATTTTGTGATTTTAGTGTCTTTCAGTCCCTCATATCGTGCCTGAACGTTGGTCAACTAAAAAAAAACACACATAATTGAAATAAGTGTGCTAAGATAAAATTTACTTTCTTTCAAAACTGAAGCAGATTCTCAATCATTTCAATTCTGCCTATTTTTCAATCTAGGAACTTTATTTGCTTTGCACAAGTACTGAAAGACAGTAAAATTACCGTAGCTAAAAACGATAAATTGAAATCCTTTTTGTAGAATTTAATATTGAAATACTCAGAATAAAGGAAAATTAGTTGCATCAATCAAAAAATAATATATATATATATATATTGAATTCATAAAAAATTACTGAAAAAAATTCCAAAAGAAATTCAACAAAAAATTCATTTTCTCAAGTACTAGAATTTTGAAATCACTTCTCAAAGCATGTTTCACCAATTTGGAATCACCAGAATATCTAATTTCATTTATAAAAGCTAATTTAGTGTCAGAAAGCTTCACGAGTACTTTTGAATATAATCACTCTTGGAGAGTAGTTAAAATCTAAAGAAACTATGTGGCGCGAAACTGTTTGTTTTTTTCACTGAATATGACTATTGAATGGAACGCTATGCTATTCATACATGTTTTAGTTGGGTACTTCATCAATTTCCATGCTTCTCTTGTTCTTCATATCGTTTATTCATAGAAACTCACATTCTGTAACCTGTGGCAAGAATAATGTATGGCCATGAAAATCTATTGCTTTTCCAAAACCATTTTCCATGCCAATATCTTGAGAATGGTTCAATAAACCGAAACCGGTTGTAACAAATAAAAATCTTACTTGAAATTAGAGAAAAGTTATTTTTTTATCCTATATTTAATTTCTAAAGAATAAATAGGTCATCGATCGAACAAACTTCTATCGATGTTCCAATTGTTCTTGATCTAACTGTTGTATTTTTCTGATCGAGTTTTACCATTTTCTTTCTGTTTTTCGGATATGAGTCGAGCCAATAATAAAGGTTTCGTCGATCTATACAATCACTTTGGACAAATCCAAGAAAAATGCCGCAAGTCAGATCTCCCTTCTCCATTGATTCCACAATTTCGTTACTAAAAGAACAATTCGTTCAGGCCAGTCTCAACTCCCTACACTGTAGGTTAATGGAGTGACACCTATCAGAAAACAACTACTCCTCTGGCTAATACCACGAAGGGCGTTGAATTATATCCGAAAGGTCAGTGCAGGATTCTTCACAGAAGTTATTCCTGCATATGCTGTTGACGATACAACTGCGTTTCCAGAACAAATAATTAAAAATAAATGTAAAAAGCCATAGGTGACAAAAGGACTGAAAACATCCTCTAGAAACCTGCGCTCACTGCATTATATCAGAAATATATTACGGCAACAGAATGGGGGAATCGAAGAATAAAATTTAAGAAATTTGGTCAATTATTAATGATGTAAGAGGTAAAACAAAAAAGAAAAACTCTGAACTCTCACTTAATCCTAATATAATAAATGAGTTCTACTGTTTTATTGCTGAACAGTTGAGTAACACAATTCATGCTCCATATGATCCATTGATCAACTTAGAAAATATAAATATTCATGATAGTCTTATTTTATAGATAGATAGATAGATAGATAGATAATATATTTGTCTATTTAGGTTGTTCTTACAACATGAGAAATGTCAAAAAAAATGAAAAACAAACAACAAGTACAAACACATTAACAATAGTCAATTTCACACAAAAGTTAAAACATATTGGATGGATACATATTAAAAACAGTACATATAATGCATACTACATAGATGAAAATGAATCAGCCACACTTTTGAATGAAATCGTCTAAAAGTATAAAATGCTCCTTGGATTAAGAACTTTTTCAGTGTTCGTCCTATTTCCTTAATACCGACTTTAGCAAAAATTATTGAGAAATTAGTCAAAGAACGTTTAGATTAATTCTTAAAACTGCACTGTATTATAAGCAAAAACCAGTTTGGGTTTCAAGAGGAAAAATATACAAATGATGCTATCTTCTCTTTTTTATATGAAATTTACTCTGAATTGAATGCTGGTGAAGTAGCCGCCGCAATTGTTTGCGATATTTCAAAGGCGTTTGATTGCGTCAATCATAAAATTTTATTAAAAAAACTTCATAAATATGGATGTAGAGGTGTAACGAACACTTGGTTCGAATCGTACCTTTCAGGTCGGAGTCAAATGGTGAGGACAACGGAACTCTCGGAAAACAGGGCCATTGAATCTGGTGTACCACAGGGTTCTGTGTAAGGCCCTATTGTTTCTGCTATATATGAATGACATATCTATGATTAACATATCTGGTAGTTTCACTCTATTCGCGGATGATACTACAATATTGTGGAAAGAAAAAAAAACTCGGAGCTAAATAAAATAATATCATCCGACTTGAAGAAGGTGAAGAGCTGGTGCGATGCAAATTTACTCTCTCTAAATGCATCCAAAACGAATATAATATCATTCAAATGTTCGCTTGATGATATTTCAATAGACGCTGACGTATTACAAAATAAATTAAACACAAAGTTTCTCGGTGTATTCATTGATAATAGGCTGACATTTGATGAGCACCTTAAACAACTGAAGAGTAAGATCTCCTCCGGATGTTATGTATTTAGAGTGGTTTCAAATGAGTTGGGTTTCCATGTCGCAAAGACCGTTTACCATGCACTTATTGAATCTCGACTACGTTATGGAATACCTTTTTGGGGAGCATGCAACTCATCCCTCCTCTCTTCTGTATTGATATTACAGAAGAGGGCACTAGGATGTCTCTGTAAAGTCAAACCCAGAGAATCGTGCAGGAATTTGTTCACTGCCAATAAAATGTTAATAGTCATCGCACTTTTTATCTTAGAGACAGTTTGCCTTATTTATAAACATAAATCGAAGTTCAACTTTGCTCCTACTCCTTATGCTACTCGCAATAGCAATTATACCTTTAGACTTCCCATCCCAACTTCGAATTTAATCAAGGATTCCATATACTACAATGGTGGTAAATTGTTCAATCATTTACCATTAGAAATGAGATCTGCAAATTTAAGCAACGTTCATTTCAAAAAGGCGGTGAAGAACCTACTTATGGATAGACCCTATTATAGTTTAGAAGACTATTTTAGCGAATCCTTTTAATAATATATTAGCAATATATTACTAATATTTTTACTATTATTGTACTATCACTTTATACATGGTGGTATTTTATCTATACATTTTTAGATTTTTTTTTTATATTTACATGTATTCATTTTTGGAATTTTTTCATATCTACATTTATACTTTTTTAGAACTTTTTTTATAACAACATTGTATTTCTTGGACTTTGTCAATAAGATGCAAATCTTCGGACAATAAAGTATATTTTGATTTGATTAATAGATTTTCAATTATTGGAACACACTTGTAGACCGGTTTCGGGCTGTTTGCCCACTCGCCAGTGCAAGGTAGAGTATATCATCAACATAAAGTTGACGATAATTGAAAATCAAATTTCTTCAGAGTATCATTCCTCGAACTAAGCTGAAGCATACAACAAACAACAGGTTTGTCGTCGTCCCATCTGCCTGTGAAAGAGGTAACCAAACTGCATATCCAAAATTTGCCCAATTCCTCGTATAAGGAAAAAAAACTTTTCACATATAGTCAGTGGGCATAATTGAAGACTGGCTATAAATCAAATCATCTGAAAGAACAATTCATTCAGGCCAGTCTCAGCTCCCTACACTGTAGGTTAATGGACTGACACCTATCAGAAAACAACTACTCCCCTGGTTGATACCACGAAGGGCGTTGAATTATATCCGACAGGTGTCAGTGCAGGATTCTTCACAGAAGTTATTCCTGCATATGCTGTTGGCGATACTCTGAAGGAATTTGATTTTCAATTATCAGAAATCATCAACTTTATGTTGATGATATACACTACCTTGCACTGACCCGAAACCGGTCTGCAAGTGTGTTCCAATAATTGAAAATTTATCGCCGCAGTTGTATCGCCAACAGTATATGCAGGAATAACTTCTGTGAAGAATCCTGCACTGACACCTGTCAGATATAATTCAACGCCCTTCGTGGTATTAGCCAGGGGAGTAGTTGTTTTCTGATAGGTGTCAGTCCATTAACCTACAGTGTAGGGAGTTGAGACTGGCCTGAACGAATTGTTCTTTTAGATGATTTGAAGAATGATATAGTCAGTTAGCCATTGCTCTTTCGAAAGTTTAGTTACACTAGTCAGTAAGTTGATAGATCTGAAGTTGGATAATTTACATTTATTTCCTTTTTTGAGAAGTTTGTAAAGTGGTTTTACTGTGGCCACTTCAGATTATCTGGAAGAATACTCCCCTCAAAAGATTTGTTCATTAGGTAAGTTAAAACGGTTACAATTTCATGTGCAAACGTTTTTTATATCATTTATTGATAGTAATTCACATTCATTAAACAGGGACAAGAACAATTTTCCATGCCAATATCTTTCTGCAATGATAAACATTAAGAGGTTGCTTTCATGAAATATTCATTAAAGCGATTTGCAGCTTTGAATGAATTATCATTTTCTAAATTTAAAACTGAACTGGATAATAATAAGTTTGTTGTGGCAGTGTTCCTTGACCTCAAAAGAGCATTTGAGACCAATAATAGGTCTATACTACTAACTAAATTGAATATATACGGACTAGAGGGCACAGTGTACAATTGGTTATTTGACCAACAAAAAACAACAGGTAAGAGTGAAAGACATATTCTCTTGTGAAATTGATAATGATGTTCGAGTTCTTCAGGGTAGTGTTTTGGGTCCCCTTCTATTCATACCTACTATATTTAAATGACATGCCATTGTTTGTTAATTGTGAATTTATGAACTTTTTTGTTGATGATACTCTATTGGCATGTAGCGATGTGAACCTCGAAATGGCTATACAAAAAATGAATAATACTCTAGAAAGTGTCAGCAATTATTTGAAAATGAATAAATTAAAGCTAAGTGTTTTGAAAACAAAATAATCACCACCAAATTTAAATACAGCCAAATAGACTCAAAAATTATTAACCTCAGCATTGATGATGAACGAATTGAATTAGTGAATTCAGCTAAATATCTGGGATTCCTGATAGAAAACACTCTTTTATTTGATGAACATTTTGAGTATATTCATAAAAAAAATTCAAAAAAATTATTCTTTTTCTCTAGAATTGCTAGTAATCTTTCAACCAAGTCAAGTATCACAGATTACAAGTCAATTGTTCAGCCACACTTTGACTACTGTTCCTCTATCCTATATCTATTAAATCAGAATAAATTGTCTCAACTCCAAAAACTACAGAATCGTGGTATGAGGATCATTTTGAAGTGCCGTAGAGATACCACTATTACTATGCTATTATTATGCTCAATGTTTTAAATTGACAATCCATTCCCCAAAGACTATTATATTTCTTGTATACAAAATATTGAACAATTTAGGACCATCTTATTTCAAACAGTGCATTGTCTTTCATCATGATATTCACCACCACTTCACTCGAAATAATAATTTATATTTAAACAGAACAAAAAACAAAAACACCATGAATTCTTTGTTTTTCAAGGGTTTTGATCGGTTCAACAAATTACCAAATGCAATTAAAAATAGCCCATAACTAAAGAAATTTATTTTAAATGTACAAGTATGATATGTATTATGTGTTTGTTACCTATAGATACAATTTTCTTTCTTGAAATATTATCATGCCTATCTTATTGATCAACTTTAGAATGTAATCATCTAATGTTTTTCATTTATTTTTTAAATAAGGATATTCATATTTCAAATGAAGATTATTATTATTATTATTATTGATTAGTTTGGAGTGAACCAGTCACTTCTTTGATGATGTGTCATAGCATTTTAGATTTATTGTCTGATTGAGCAATTTTTTTATAAAGCTATATGATGGAATTGATCGATACTTGATGAAAATCCATAACTAAAGTATTCAAAAAACACTTCATTGTAAGATTTTCACTAAAATCTCACAATAAGGTGTCTTACAATAAAGTGTTTTTTGAATACATTTGTATATTGTATATTGTTTTATAGTTTGGGTCAATTTTAGAAATAGACAAAAATTTGTTCATTTTTCAGTTTTGTAATTTCACGGAAACCAAACACTTCTTTAGTGAATTTCAGTTGTTTTTTGAAATCAGGTATTATTCACGGGATGAAAGAGGTAAAATTTCACTTACATGGAACACACTGTTGTCCTCAATGGCGGATAACGATGTTTTAGAAAAATAGAATAAGACCCTTGTCTTATTACCTCTTCAGCACTAATTTGGATAACATTACAAGATGAAGCACTAAATTCATTCATTCATAACATTACGACCTTACGATCACAGCCATAGGAATTTTGTTCAAATTGAGAGAGGTATATTTTTAGGAGATTAATTTTTTGGTAAAAAATGTTTTGGCTTTCGTCCTACCCATCTTTATACAAAAAATGTGGAAAACTTCCAGGGAAAGGAAGAAAGCAATTATTTCAAAATAAACTCTTTATAATGATGTGTAAATTATGCGAAGAAGTAACTTTCAGAAACAAAATGGCAGATGAAGCCATCTTGAAACAACTACTTTTATATAAACATTGAATTATACAAAAACACTTTCTTCTTATTTAGTTTGTATTCCAAACATTTGTTATGGAATTGAGTCAGATATCATTCACGGATTGTATATGAAAGAGATAAAATTTCACTTACATGCAACACTGTCATCCTCAATAGCGAACATCAATTTTTCATAATAAGACACTCGTCATATTACCTCTTTAGCATCAATCTGAATAACATCATAAGTTAAAGCACTCAACTCATTCATACAATTACGACTTTATGCCACAAATAAGTTAAATCTACTTATTTTATCAATGACAGTAAGTGATGGACATTCGTTCTCTTATTTGATTCGATGTGAAAGTAGTTGTTTCAAGAGGAATATTTCTTCCAGTTCGTATTTCAAAATTACTTCTTTGCATGATCTACACATCATTGTAAAGAGTTTATTTTGAAATTAATTGCTTTTTTTCCCCAAAAATCAATCTCTCCTTAAAATATACCCTTATCAATTGTGACTCAATCTTTAATCATATGTTTATCTTAATTTGAGAGTAAGCTATTTTGGAACAATCGTGAAAGAAAATGTCTTTTTCAACTGAAAGACGTAAGACTGAAATATATTGATAACTGGATATGGAGACCTCGGTAATCCTAAGCTTATACAAGTTTCACCTTTTGAGGGTTGACAGCTGATTAATGAAAAAACAGAATTCAACGAATTTATCCAGAGAGAAATATCTCAATTCATCACCACATCTTAAGGCACAGTAAGAAAGGGAGAGCAGCAGTTCTGGGAAAATGGACATGTAAAAAAAACAGATTCTCATTGACAAAGTGTGCTTAATAAGAATGAATAAAAAATATATTCATATTTTGCCAAAAATCCAGTCTGAATTACTTAGGGTAACCTACTGTGGAAAAATTCTCCCTCTATACAGAAGATATTTTTGGTTTAGGAAAAAACTCTCAGAGCTCAACCAAGACTTTTTTGCCTGTTATAATAATAAATCAAAATCGACTCAACCATTCCACTTTCACATTAGGAATCAACTTACACAATCCGAATTCAAAAATATCGTGGTACAATTTCTCTCCAGACAGTTATTTTATATCCCTGAATTTTTAACGAAATTTAAATATGTTTTCTATTTCAATCAAGCAATGTATGATATTTTTATAATCTATAACCGTGTTAGGAATAATACGTTAAAAGGCAAGACCTCGTTAGTCCTTAGCTCGCACAAGTTTAGACTTTTAAGAGTTGTTGTTTGTAGGGGGACGACAGCTGGTTAATGGAAAAACGGTTTTTTCCGTTAACCGTTCAGTATGACAATTTCTATATCACATAATTAATACTCACATCCTCTTCACTGCCATATCCAATTTGTAAGTTGTTACCTTCCATAGGTAGATCTTGAAGTGCCTGCCACATCTTGTGGGCAGCAGTTCGCTTGGCAAGTTTCTTAGATTTGCCAGTTCCAACTTCTCTGAACTTCAATACCTGGCAAGAAATTGTGAACTGACGCTCATGTGGCAGACCTTCTTCATGTTCCATTTCATAAGATGGTGGTGGCCAACGACGACTCATGCACATCTCCTGCAGCCAACCAATTGGATTTCCCATAACTTTGTCATCATAAGGCGACACTACTTGACTGGTGCTGAAAATAAATGAAATTTGATGTTAGATGAGATATGTCAATAAGTTGCAAATGTATTATTTAAACTGACTACTATACTGACGTGAAAGTATGATTTTAGACATTTTAAGAAAACGGTGTAAATTTTGTAAATCAAATGTTATAATTGTCGTAAATGTGTGGAGTGCCTTTCAGTTTACCCCAATAGATGTGTCACCATCAAATCAAAAACCCACGACGAAGAAATCGACGCATTTCTCACAGAAGAGAATTATTTGAAAGAGAAAAGCTTTCAAAGCAAATCATAAAAGATGAAATTATTAACATCAATGATATGGAAAATATTATTACCTTATTGGAGAGAATTATTGGGGAAAAATACTATTTTAAAACACAAAGTGTAGACTTGATAATTTCATCGTTAAAGGTCTAAACGAACACAAGAGACTTGAAACACTCGTGGTCGCATGAGATTTCAAATTCAAGCATACTCTCTAACTATGACGACTTCACTCATTATCATGAAAAAGACAATACCCGTCAGTACCAATGCTGACGAGGAGCAAGTACTCCGAAACCTGTCTATCGGTGGTCGTCTCGACAAAATCAAATTAATTTCTGCTTTTCATATGTAGGAAGTTACCTGCGGTGGATCTTTCAAATGGAAGATATTGCACAGGTGCCTGATCGTTTAACATCAGTTTTCTGCGCGGCATTAACTGGGTTAGTTCTGCGGATATCTGCCACATATACCTACAAAGTCGTAGGTTCACATGACAGACATGGTGTTTTCACCTAAACTGGAGCATGTCATATGCACCTCTCCGGAAGGTATTGAATTATCATTCTGACTTTCATTCCGGAGTATGTGTTTGTGGAGTTGTTTGTTCAGGACCACTCGTCTGAAATGACATCCCGGTACTGACGAGGAGCAAGTACTCCAAAACTGGTCTATCGGTGGTCGTCCCGACAAAATGAAAAGCAAGGATATGGTGTTTTCACCTAAACTGTAGCATATATACAGAGTGAGTCAGAATAAGATCGACAAACCCCGACTACAGATTCCTCGCCTCATTTTGAGATGAAAAGTTTCTGTCGAGGTATACCTATAGGGTACCCTCTAGGGTACACTACATATAAACAAAAAAGGCTTAACGTAAATGTTCAAATGGACCACCATGACAATCATTTAGTTCGATATACAATTAGCATCTCCGTACCATTGACTGTCGCATTCTTTGGAATATTCCTGGTGTATATTGTATTATTGTACATGTTGCTAAAATTATTGCCTTTAAATCTTCCAACAGACTCTACAGGTGTCAAATACAACAGGGATTCAAGGTATCCCCACAATAAAAGTTTAGTGACGTTAAATCCGGAGAACGTGCAGGCCAGTGTATGGGACCACGTCTACCTATCCACCTATCATGGAATGTTTAATCAAGAAATTGACAAATGATTCCCACATTCGAACCAATAGAGGTACTTCTTCAAGTAGCTCAGGTAAAACATGACAGATGACTTGACAACAATACAAACTTGTTTGGGTTACTGTCAATGATGTCTAATGTAAGGATCGATATATCAGTTTGTTTCTACCAGAAACAATGACAGTCTAATTCAGACTCATCTGAACCATCTTTTCAATTCTTCCATTAGCTTCAGCTTTAAGCTTCTAAGGATGCTCACTATGTCAATTAACTGTACTGTCATAATTTTTTTTTTCGATTCATGATAACTGATTGCAAAGTTGAACCTTACGACTAGTTTATATGCCATTGATCAATGCATAAAAAAAGACACAAACTTTTTATTCTTGTCCTTCTTAAAAACCATATTATTAGAATGGGCTCTAAAAATGATACTCCAACATAAAATTCAACAAATCAAGAGTACTATCTTCGGTTTTCTGCAAAAATTGGTTCAGAAAACCAAAGACAAAGACCAAAACGGGATACAATGCTCGGACTGCAACAAATTCTATATCGGCCAATCCAAGAAAAAACTGATCTAAAGGTATAATGAGCACAAAAAGGCATACATAAATCCAACAGTTTATAAATCAAACCTTGCAACACATGCCATACAAAACAAACATAATTTCTCACCACCAGAGAACATAAAACTAATAAAACAAATCAACAAGGGAAACCGCATGGACATTTGGGAAAACTTGAACATCCATAAATTCAACAGTATTAAATCACTTATCAAGGAACTAGTACAAATCAAAACACAACAAGATCTCACATTCAATATATTAAACAAAACCATACACATTCCTAGAGAAGATCTAACACGAAGAAGAAGAGTACCTGATGCAGAACAAATACAGGCAAATTTACCTAAAGTACCTGAAATATCTGAGTTAAGACGCTCTGACCGTATAAAGAGTATCAAATGGTATGTGACATGTGCAAATTAGCTAAATTTTCTAACATAGCAATTATCAAACAAAAATATATACAACTGAAGAACTTATATACAGAAATAGTAAAACGGGCAAAAATGGGATATAACAACAACATAATTATAAATGCAGAAAATATTAAGGAAAGTTGGAAAATTATCATTGAAAATAGGAATAAAATAAAAAATAATGATACTTTGAAACTAACAATCAACTGTAATACTATTACAGATAAAACAACAGTAAGTAACATTCTCAATATATTTTTCATTGACATAAAAACAAATCAACCTAATACAAACTAATTGAAATCATCTCCTTTCTCTAATGTTCATTATATATTTCTAATAATTATGTAATTTATCTTTCTACATGTTGCATTGAAATTTTTCGAATGTATAATGTTGCTGTTTTTGTAGTAATGTCTTTAAAAATATTTTATTGAACTTATGTTTGTCATACATTTAAGTCATTTCTAGATGTAACACATACCTTTTTTTTTATTTCTACCATTCTAGTTGATTTGTATATTATTAGGATATCCTATTTAAATAAAGATCTATCTATATATCTATACAACAGCTTATACTTATATCCAACATCACATATAGAGATCCAAGAAATCATTAATAAAACCACTAAAACCTCTTATCATTTATTGTCAATAAATTAATAAATTTATTGTGAATAAATCTTTATGTGATGGCATATATCCAGAATCACTGAAAACATCAAAGTCTATTCACATATATAAAAACAAGGGCTCCAACTATAGAAATATCTGTTTGCAATCGCAAATTGCCAAAGTTATCGACTATGCCTATTATTTGCTACTTCATAAATTTGTTGAACACTATAAACTCATGTCAACATGGTTTTAGACAGCAAAAACCAACATCATCTGCCATATTCGAAATGTGTGACAACATCTACAAAAACCTCAATGATAAGAAATTTCCAATTGGTTTATTCTTTGATCTATCCTGGGCATTCGATACAGTTGACCACGGTTTATTACTTGATAAACTGTATAGAATGGTAATAAGAGGAGTAGCCAATGAATGGGTAGCATCATATTTATGTCAAAGGTCGCAAATAGTGGTAATAGATGAAATAAAATCACAACGAGCTTCTGTCTCATTAGGAGTTCCACAAGGCTCAACATTGGCTCCGCTTCTTTTTATAATATTTATGAGTGATATTGAAAATTCATGTGTATCTCCACAAAAATCAATAATATATGCTGATGATACCTATCAAATAGTAGCAGAAAATGAACTTCTCCTCCCTGTTCAAGCTGCAAATAAAACTGCTGATGAATTTTCACAATGGTGCACAAATAACGGTCTACTTGTTAATGTAAATAAAACTGAATTATCAACAAAAGAATCATACTAATGATCATTGTTCACTAATAAAAACACATGACAGATCTATAGAGCAGGTGAATCAATATAAGTATCTAGGATTAGTAATTGATCAGAAGTTAACTTGGCGGAAACACACAGATTATCTAATAACAAAACTGAGTAGAGTCTGCTTCATAATAAGACAACTACATGGAACAGTATCTCTAGAAGTACTCAAAGTGACCTATTTCGGATTAGTACAATCTAATATCTCAAATGGGTTAAATATTGTGAGGAAACTCAGCATTCCTAATAAGAGTGTTTGTTATAAAAAAAAATAATTAGATATATCGCTGGCATACATTGTAGACAATCATGCAAGACAGTTTTTAAAGATCTAGCTATTTTAACACTACATTCTTTATATATTTTGCTCATAACTATGAATATCAAAAGAAATGAATCACACCATACAAAAAACAGTATGATACATGATCAAAATACAAAGATACAAAATACAAATACAAAATACAAGGAGTCAATGTTATAAAAAGGAAATAGGTTACTAGGAAATATTGAAAATTACAATACATTCAAAAAAGCTTTAACAGACCTTCTCCTAGAAAATGCCTTTTACAATGTCAAAGAATTTTTAGATTTGCATGTATAAGCTGCTTTTTCTTCAGTTTGTGTGACTAGTCTGATAAATATTGAACCAGTAATGTATATGTTATATGTGTATGATACCTTTGATACCTATCTAGCAGCCACTTTTTCATAGGCAGTAGTATATCATCGTATTAGGAAAAAAATTAGCTTAAATTGGGTGTAAAAAACATGGATGTACGCCATGAACGTAAAAGGATGCCAAAATATTACCTGGCTGTGAAGTAGTTGTGGCCTAATGGGGAAATGGCTCCCATGGCTTTTTTAAATCATTACATTTGTATGTAGTATCACTAAAGAAATAATACTTACATATCAGCAGCACCAGGAGTGCCGTTAGTTTGATTAGCCTGTTCTGGAGTCATGTTCCCAACAAGCAAGTCAAGCAAATTTTTAGCAGCTGCATGTTTAGCATCCTTCTTGGAACGACCAGTGCCCGTTGCAACAAGCTCATTGCTCAAAAATACCCTGTAGCGGAATATGGGTTCATGTATAGCCCCCTCTATCTGAACCAGTTCATATTTGGGAGTGATACCTCTCCGACTTAGAAGCTCTTGGAGAACCGACACTGGAGTCTTGCTAGGCATGGCTGCCATTTCCTGAGAATAAAGCTGAGAAGAGAAATATTATGAAATAAGATATACAGATATTTTGCAGAAAAAAAGTACTTAGTTCATAGATATTGGATTATTTTTTTCATACTTGACTGATTTCCGCAGGGTACTAGTACTTTCAAATGAGTTGCCTGTTGTTTGTACAAGAAATCTTGATTTTTCATTAGATTGTATACATTTACAATATGGTTGATTTGAGGTGTCTATCAATAAAATATTTTGACAGTCTTTGTGTTTAAAACAACAAACTTTTGAGTTTACCATGTTTTATCATTTTAAAAACTATAATGAGCAAAAGAACAAAGAAATTGAATAGATAAAAAACTGAATACTATACAACAATAAAAAGTAATATAAGAAACTGAATTTATTTTTAACATCTGTTGGATTTTTTACCATTTGATACCAGGTGACAATAAAAGCTTTTGATAATAAACTAGGAAATTAGGTTTATGACAATTAAAATCGAAAAATATGAACTAGTCTATATTGAATAGATACTAGAAATATTTTTCGCTATTCAATACGAGGATTTCTCAATTTGTACCAATTTTTCTCCAAGGTTTTCACACAATCCAGAGGAATCTAATAAACATTATTTATAGTGTCTGACTGAAACTGATTTTTACGACCGAAACCGAAAACGAATTTCGGCAACGGTCTCAGTTTCGGCCGAAACCGAAACTTTCTTGCAAGGATTATGTTTTTGGGAAAAAATAAAGAAAACGTCATAACAATCAGTCAGTCTGTATTTTTATATCTTTAAATCACAACGTTATGCAGTAAAAAATATTAACTGCACCTTGAAAATATTTAAAATAGGTGAGTTGTTTTTTTGAGTAGGTGTAGATCTTTCTTTTGAATATTATCAAGGCCGTAGCCAGAAAACAATTTCGGGGGGGGGGGTTTGGTGGAGCAGTAGAAAAACATGAAATATAAAAATAACAAAAGAAAGAAAATTGTCTTTCATGAGCATATATATTCATTAGAAAACTATTACAGAAATATCAACATCTTTTTACAAAATCAAATTTAGTTTTCTAGCTTTCTTTGCAAACAAATCAATTACCTCCTCGGTGTCTATGTCAATTCTACAGTGGATTGACATTAACGCCAAACCGTTTAGTCGTTCCTGGCTTGTGGAGTTTTGAGGCTTTTCAGAGAAGAGAAAGTCCTCTCAGGAGTACATGTGGAAACAGGTTGTGTCGCCAAGATATTTGAAAGTTTGCATGCGCATTGCCGTAAGGTTGTTCCACTGTGTTTCGGGAAGCTTTTTTTAAATATTCTCTTTCAAACACTTGGTTCGTTTTGCCAAGGACTTGATAGAATTTCTAACGGATTTTATAATTCTAATAGTATATGTAAAGTGGGGAGGGTGAGTGTAGGCCCACAGCACTTAGGCCACATTCGACCCATTGTACATCCTCCTAAGGAGTTGTCCTCCTAGGTGATCGTCGATCCTGTCCTTTCCAGGAAGGTGGGCAGGTCCCTTGTTCGTGTCATCATGGCTTAAAACACGTTGGAGCCTGGCTCCCTTACCCTTTCGACTGATATTCGTCAGAGAGACAAATGGGTCAACACTGATTTATGTGATGGCGGCATGAATGTCCTCAGACATCAGTACTGCCCTTCACGTGGACCCCTACCTGGCTGGGGTGTTTGGATGAAGATATTGTTCATCTTTTAACGGAGGACATGAGGGCCTCACTCGACAGAGTGTCTGGGCCTTCTATACCAGAAGAGGTCGTCTACAGCATAATCCATAGCTTCCCTAACTAACGGATTATCGTAGGTTTCTGCGCAATCAAAGACTTGCCGATTCCTCGACTCAATGGACTGCTTAATGAAAGGCAGTTGCAAATCTCTGCGGATGGCTTCATTCTGTACGAACCACGGATCATTCACTCTCATCCGTATTATTTTATTTTGCAATCTCTCCAGAATGGAGATATTAGACGGAGCCGCTTGTCCTTGTCCGCCGCTTCCTTGGATAAAGAGTCGGCGATTAACTTTACTCCTGTCGTGCCCTTTAATCCACCCCAGGATAATGTTATTATCTACCGAAGCTTTGGCTAAATCTGGGTGGCACTCTAGTACTAGGCCTAAGGTAACACGTCTGTTCTAGGCTAATAGGGCTTGTCTGCTTTCAGTTATTTTTTTGCCAGAAATTCTTTTCCTGGTTATTTCTTTTGTAGCAATTGAGATACCAGCCAGTTCTGTTTGAACCACGCTGGTATTTTTCCTATTCCCCACTTAATCCTTAGGCTTAGTGATCTGGAGTACACTCCATATCCTGAGCCTTCTTTGGTTTTTGAGCCATCTGTATATATGCGTATTGCATTTGTAGCATCTGACTCTGTGTTGTTTTATTTGTATTTTGTAGGGTTCAGTCTCAATTGACCCATTCCTACTTCAAGGTTTACACCAGCCGTGTGCAATCGTAACATGGCCATTAACGCAACCTCCTTAACGTAAAATTACTTATTTAAGTCGTTAATTTATAACACAATAGATACACGTATTTATGTAATAAACAAAGTAAATCACAAAGTCATGACATGATTAGGCACGCGGACTTCGTCGCTTGTATGAAATTCAACGCGCCGAACATGACCGATCACAGCGCGTGAACTCCCGAATGCAGTTTCGGTTTCGGTCGTAGTTTCGGCAGGTTTGCCGCCGAAACCGAAACTAAACCGAAACCCGTTTTTTTGCCGAAACTCGACCGAAATCGAACTTTCGGTCGGCCACTAATTATTATTTATATTAAATGAGAGATGAAGGAGTCTAAGCAGCAGATTCACAATGTTATGAAACCATTGCCCAATCAAACAGTGAAACTAGTGATTTGCGACAGATGAGTGTAATAAATATAATTACTGTGTTTTATTTAAGTAAACATTAACGTTAAGCAGCAAACATACAGTCACTCAAAAATGTCATACTAGGTTAGTACTAGTAGAAAAGTATCAGTTGAAAACGTTCAAGGTAACAAATAATTACTGATAAGAAATAGGTTTCCTAGGAAAATATCGAATAATGTTGAAATTTTTATCAAGATAGTCCAATTATGAAGCATTCACGTTAATTATTTGCAAGATAGCAATACTAGCATTATCTGAAAAGTTGTCAGTGATCTATGAATTCTTATCTATAAAAGTATCAGTTAAATATTTCATGAAAAATTCACCAGTTTTGCTTCTTCTCCCAGTGACAATCGCTCACTTTGTAGATTTCCATGTAGAGGACCATGTCGGTTACCTTTTCCTCTTCTTGGGTGGGTGATATTTGGAGGATGAATGGGACCAGCTGAATGCAGCAAAGTCATATTAGGTGAATCCATTCGAAGTTTCTATAAAAAAAAATATATATCAGTACATAAAACATCAGATTTTGCCGAGTTATAAAATACTGATTTCTCAATGTTATACACAAAACAGCTGATTTTCATTTGGTGGGCGATATTGAAATTTGGCTTTATAACATACTTTTGTTGGGGACATTATTGAATTAATTGGTGCTTTTTGTCTACCAGATCCTTGGCGACATTCTATCCTGTTGATATGCACAATTCCATTCCTACCTATCATTAAATTTAGTAAATTTATATTTAATTTCGGTTTGTCCTCATTTTTGAATACATCTTTGTTCCGTAAATAACCTTTCACCGTTTTTGAAAAGTGTTCCATTAATTTTCGAGTGATTGATAATTTACTATGAACATTAATATACACACTCACATGCATATTTTTTATATTTTGTAGAGGTAATATTATTTTCAAGGATCATACATTTTGACAGTTCAGGAAATCAAAACAGCACCAGCGAAGAGCGGTCTTCGACGCGCTATTTATGGGCACGCGCCGCCGCCCCCGTTCTGGTACCGCCGCAACCGCGATGTTCCTGCAATTTAAATCTGTAATATCTTCGAAAATATTCATTTTCTTTTATGAGAGAGAGGACATTGTTAGATCAAGATCTTCAGATGATGTGGTGCTGTAGGTTTTTCCGGGGTTTCCTGCAGCTGAAGAAGCAAATGCGCCACTGGAATCAAGGAAGTCGCCCCGGAGCGCCAATTAAATTTTATTGTTGTATTTATTTTATTTTTATCATTGTTTTAGCACATTGTAATAATTTTATAAATTGGACCCATAATAAAAATTACATGCTATAACGGGCCATATTGATCTATATTAAATGCACAATGTTTTTAAGGTACTCAATTGGATAAGGATTAATGCTGTATTGCATAAATCGCTTGGTAAATAAGCCATTATTTCTCGAGGATAAAAAATTGTTATTGTGGGTTACCTCTAAGAGATAGACATATCACGGACTTTTTTGTAGGCCTTTAGCAAGGTGTATAACACTAGTATATTTTTTGATCGATCTCGTTCAGCAAGCGTATGCAATGAAAGCGAAAACAATGTGTTTATTTACGATATCACATTAGAAACCTCTAAATCTATCAGTTTTTCTCTACCATATTATGCATGTTATAAACATATAAACCTTCCTCTTGAATCACTATCTATTAAAATACCCCGCTTCGATACTATGTATTGAGTAGTGATATAAATAAAAGAATCATTTTACAAAAATTTCGTTCATTGTATAACCAGTTTTCGAAAATGAGGGTTATTATTACCATTTAAAAATTTGTTGGTAATAACGCAAACGAAAACATGTATGCCATACAATGAAAGAGTATATGAAAATAGTAAAAGCATTTTTTTAAAAAACAGTTTATTGTATCAGTTTGAAAATGTCCTTGTAGGACGAAACCCCAGTAACGTTAGTTACAAATACAAGTGGTATAAAAACACGAGAAGTTTTATTTCTCATTTTTCACGATGTCCGTGTTAGTCATTAGTTTACGATATCTGAATCTCACATATCCCAATTTTTTATTCACATTTATTATATACAAAGAACCGCCCAAAAAGTGGCAAATAAGAAGTAGTGATAAATTAATAAACATACCTTATTACACGCCTTTCACGAACAATTATTCATCAACTGAACTGACTTTGGGAGAAAATTGCGAAATATTATTCCCGCCTATACCTTTTGTGAACAAATCGCCTACTGATCTTACTCTGTGTAAAATGAAAACTATAAAGAAATCCTGACCATCTGTTCATTTCTGTACAATTTTTTTAAATACAAAGGGATCCCCTTCTACCTACCTATATAGATCCCTCATTCAGGTCGTTCTTTGTCAGTAAAGTAAATGTAATAAGTTTTAACGTACGAAATATTTTCAGTTCCCGCCAAGAAATATATGTATTAGTGCAGTCATCTGGAGTTGCAAAGATATATTCAAGATATTATACAGGAGGATAATCAAGAAAAACTGCAACTGCATGAAAATAAACTGGGTTCAGAGTATTACATTCTGTATTTCTTACAAACCAGGTGATTCATGTGAGCGTAGCCAACCCATTTTATATTTTTTTAATGGAACGGTATAGTTTTTCAGCCTTCTGAGGATAATTGAAGTTGAAGGTTCTCAATAACATCTTTCAAGTTTCATTCATTTTCAAATAGTAATAATTCAATTCTTTTAGTAAAACACTATATTTTCCAGTTGAATAAAATACTCCATTTTCTCTACAGTACGATAAAATATATTTTTGATACATACTTAGTTTAAATATTTGTTGTAACCAGTTCATTTGTTCAACTTTTATTTTTTTAATTTTGAAACTAACCACTAGTGCAGTAGCATTTTTTTAAATTCCATTTAGTGGTAGCTTGAAAAAATTAATTTCGAAATTTGTTAATAACGATATTTGTTAAAGTTTATTTCGAGCGCAGATTACAATTATCATCATCATTAATTATGTGTTTGATATGACACCAGATTCAGGTATCTTGTGAAGTGAATGGTTTAATCTCAATGGGAAAGAAGACAACCAACCATATGGAAAGGCATTTTATTCTCTAAAACAAGTAATTTTATACTCTAAAAAAATTTGAAAAAACTGGAAATTTATATTATAAGAAGTTGTAACGTACAAGCCCTGCAACAAATGAAGGAAATAAATTTCTGAGTAGAGAATAAGTATTATTTCGAACTAACGTGTCTGGAATGATAATAGCAAGCAAATTACACGCAATTATTACTAGAAGTTGGGAGAATAATATTATCTGAGAAACGTGTGAATTTTTTGTTTGGGCTTGACAAATATTTCGTCTAATTTTTGATGAAGCGACATTTTATAAAAACGGCTGTGAATGCAACATTGCTGCAAGAATCATCACTAGTACATGAATGATCACTTATTATCAGAAAACGAGGATTGGTCTGTATTTGTTTGATGGGCATGTCACTAGAAAGAAATACATTAGATTTCTTCGGCATATGGTACGATGTTCATGTTCCATATGGGGTTATATTAAATGAATTGTCTATGAAACTCCTCCCATATCTAAAGACGTGAAAAATTTATTTGAAAGCAGACTGAGATTATATGTTTGGGAAAAGTTTGAAATCATGAAAAATGAGAATTGAAATTCCTATGTTTTAATACCACTGGCATTTGTAACTAACGTTACTGCAGTTTCGTCCTACAAGGAAATTTTCAAAATATCTGTCATTAAAAATATGTTTGCGTTATTCAAACTTGATACAATAATGAAGTTATGAAAAACGAATATTCGTTTGAAAATGTCCTTGAAGGAGGAAATAACAGTAACGTTAGTTACAAATACAAATTGGTATAGAAACATAAGAAGTTTCAATATAATTTTTTCACGTAGTAACGGCTACATTCCATCCATTTAATAATGATGTTAGTGTGGTTTTATACAGTTCTTCTTTTTTACGAAATATTTGAATGGTTTCTGACTTTTTTTTAATTACTACGAAATACACTGTTCAACGATTTTCTTCAGTGTTTGTTGAAATATGAAGCATGACTCTAATAATGAAAATGATAATTGAATGTTTTGGAGTATAACCCAATATTTGTATTGTAACAGAATTTTATAATGACCTTTATTGACCTCCGAGCCATAGGTCGCGAGATATTCCCGAAAAACTGATTTTCGTAACCTTTTGACCCTAATAACTTTTTTAGCCGGCACGATATCAATATCGATTTCTCACATTTTCATTTAAACGCCATAATAAAGGTGTATATCAAAATTCAGCTCAGTAGGAATTTTTCCGCAGATAAAACCTTAAATGACTGGACTACACTGTAATAGTAGAAGATACTGACTTTCAGGGCTGTCGCCATGGGGAGGAGGATGGGGACCCCCCCTGCTTTTTCGACTTGGGAAAAAGTTGGTAAATTTTGGCCCATGAAGATAGAAAAAAATAATAGTAAAAAATGAATAAAAATTAAAAAAATAAAAATGAGAGAAAAGAAAAGGAGAGGTAATAGGAAAAATAAGAAAAGGGAAATAACCAGGAGAAGGTTGGGATTTCCCAACATGCATAACTTGAAGAGAATTCTGAGTTGTTTGAAATATTCATAAAAAGTTTAATTACTCTCAAGTAAGAACAGTCCACAAATTTTGACGTGACAATTTTACAAAATTCCCAACTTTTCGCTGTTTTTCCGACTTGGAAAAGTTGGGAAATTTCGGGTTGTGAAGATAGAAAAAATAATAGTAGAAAACAATAAGCACAATATTATTTGGTCCAAAGTAGAATGCTCATAGTAATCTTAACCAAATATTCCTAAAGAATCCACTAACTTGCTGTAGATATGCAGATGAATTTTCAAAAGCAGTTATTTGGAAAAACTTCAATGCCGCTACAAAATTTACGAATAAAAAAAACTTAGAAAGCTTAAAACATATAGCAACGCATGGTGTAGCTGTATTCTAGGTGTTCCATTTTATATAAGAATGAAGAAAAACAGAAAAATAGTTCCGCATATCCAATCATAAGTGACCTTTATGAAAAATATATCTAATAAATACATTGATTCAGACTGGAGGCCGGCGATTTGAAAGCAGTTAATGTATTAGTTTGAAAATGTCCTCGTAGGACGGAACTGCAGTAACGTTAGTTACGAATACAAGTGATATAAAAACATATGAAGTTTTATTTCTCATTTTTCATGATCTCCTACCACGTAGTAACTGCCACATCCATCAATTTGTTGAAAGAAGCAAGTACAGCTAGACAAGCCACCTACTACTTCAAACTGAAAATGAAGTACCATCAAGCACTGCAGAACCTATGGTTCAACCAAGAGTACCTAAAAAGGAAAATTACCCCGAAATACATGAACATCAGAACCAGGACAAGCAGTTTATTGTATAAGATAGAAAATGTACTTGTAGGACGAAACTGCAGTAACGTTAGTTACAAATACAAGTGGTATAAAAATACGGGAAGTTTCATTTTTCATGATGTTAGTCATTAGTTTACGATTTGATTTGTCAATTATTGTAAAAATATGTGAACTATGGCTTTTTAAATCGAAATGATGAAATGAGTTGCAGGGGGTGTAATCTTCCGCGACAAAATTGAAGACCACATCGGTGTTATAGAATACGCCAAATAGGTACTATTCTTTGACGTGAAAATATTCCCAGCAACATTACTTTCTCAGAACTTATGATTGTTTATATCAAAATGATGGAATGGGTTGCTCTGGGTGTAATTTTTCGCGAAAGAATCGAGTTCAATATAGGTATAACAAAAACCAGAGAATTTTATTGTTCCATGTAAAAATATTTCCAGCAAAGCTAATTTTCCGGAAGAAAGATTTTTTTAATCAAAATGATGAAAATGGTCTCAGTAGGTGTAATTTTTCACGACAAAATCTAGGACCATATAGGTATTATAGAACACGCTGCATACCATTGTTTTATATAAATTTATCCCCACAGCACTGTTGAATCATGGCAATGAATGTCCTAGAAGACACATTTTCATGGCTAGAAACGAATTGCCATATGCTTCGTGTAATGACGACTGGGCGCACTCTTTTTAGTTAGCGAAAATTCGCCCAAATCGTGGCTGAAACCAATGGCCGACTTCACACTGGTATGAAAGTTTTCGAAATTACTATTAGTACTCAATACTCAATGGATTGTCATGTTGAATCACTGATACCGTCTAAAGACAGATGTATACCCACCTCCAACAGACCTCTTAGAATAGATGGTTTTGAATGACGTCTCCAATACTTCCAAACTGCTATTAATTGAGTTATTTGTCGGTGAGGATCCTTCTGTCGAAATAAATGAAGACGATCAGACTATTATGCTTAGAATCTGTTCCAAAGGATTATTATGTCCACTACAACTATGAGTGGCCATCCAGCTGCATCATACTTTCAGATCAACTATTATATCAACTTTCTTCTCAATTTCGGATTTTATTGTATAAAATCTAAAGGCACAAAATAAAGCGATATATTTTGGATAGAGGATGTCGTTTATATCGCATTCCATGGTGTAACAATGAGACAGACACATGATATCATTGACATATCTTATGAGTACGTTGATTTCAATAATATCATTGTTTTCGACTGCTACAGTTGATCACAAACGGTGCTCCAGAAAAGTGCAGTTTTCCAGGCAAAAACGGCTCTCGTCGACTTCATTGATTCCCGAGCACACAATTTTTATGCTGACGGAATTGATAGACTTGTGTTACATTGCTAAAAGTGCACCGATTCGAATGGCGCTTATTTGGAATGAATCAAATAACTATTCACTGAGATATTAACAGTTTGAAGTAAACTTATAAAAACGGACTTTTGAAACAACCTAATACTCGGGAAAGTAGTAGTAACAAAATCATTCGTTACCCAGAAACGTATGCTTCTGATTGATTTTTCTTCAAAGTGCCATGTATTCAGTCTAATTTCTAAATACTAGTCTGGAAAGACAGAACAAAAAATCAAAACTGACAAATGGGATTAATATGTAAAACATATTTATTACCTGATACTCTTGTGACTTATCTACTTTACATGATTTATTGCTCATTTAGGGCAAAGTGTGCTAGAATGCAAATGTAGACGTGATAGACTATCCTGCTCATCGGTTTGTGGGGGGACTTCAAATCAAAGGTTGTAACAATGGTAAATCTACTTCTGATAATGAATACCTA